CTCGTGATGAAAAAACGGTTAAAAAAAACTTTTTATTGTTATATTAACTTATAAATTTTAAACTATTAGTTCAAAAAATGTTTTACCAAATAGAGTCCAAAAAACTTTAACAACTAAGATATAAAAAATTATAATTACTAGATATTAATTTAATAAAAACTCATCCAAATTGTATTTATGATAGAAAAATAAAAATTTGTAGTATATAATTAAATATGGTATACATAATTCTTTTAAATTTCTTCTTTTGATAATTTTGCTGAAAATATTCAACTGAAAATATGTGGATTCAAATCCGCAATAGATTAATTTTATATTTTAAAAAGTGAAATTTTGAACATAAATTATTAAAAAATTTATAATATAACAAATACAAAATTGTGTGTTTTTATTAACTGGACGTGTTTTAAAAGGGATGTAGAGAAAACGACAATTTCGAGTGAATACAAATTACTAGTCTTACACGCTGCTTTAGTTAGTCAATGGATTGTAGTGCAGTGTGTACATGCAATTATTTGGTCATTGAATGGTAGGACCTTTTTAATTATATATCATTAAAAAAATTATATCAAACAATAAGCCGTTTGGTAAAATAAATAAAATATTAATATTATTTTTAAAATAATTATTATTGTTTATTTTTAATTTTGAATTTTAATTTTTATATTATTAATAAAAATAATTTTATAAAATGATTTATATTTTTTCATCATATGAAATGAATTATAGTTATTAATATATTAATTCAATAATGATTGACGTTAGACTTGATAAAAGAAATACAGTTTAATTCTCACAACTACGATTGAGAGAGAATTAAAATCAATTAATATCAGAACTGTGGACTATATCTGTGATGATAAAAAAAATTCAAAAAAAATTGTTATAATTATAAAAAAAAATGGGATGCTTCTTGGAAGTGTCTCCCTCTGTCCATTTCGTGAAGTTTTCTTGGAAGGTTGATTTTTCAAATTAGGATGCTTCATCTTTATCATAACTTTGTAGGGCCTCTATACCTTTTTATCATAATCTCTCTGAATATATATTTGCTTATTGCTTCAATTTTTCAGATCTCATAACTTACATAATTTTGTGTTGTCTCCAATTTTCTAAATATTATTATCAGATTCTATTTTTCAGAAGATATAATCGTCATTTGTTTACTTACACCTATACTTACAGGTAAACTTCCTTTACTCTTTCTCCATTTTTATTCTTTTTTAGTGAATATTCATTTATCTCTAATTTTTTAAATCTTATATCATTTTCAGATTTTCGAAGAGATTCTCAAATATTTACGGGTAATATATTTCTCTTTTTTTTTTTTGTAAATATTTCTTTTATTTTCTTCTAGTGAATATTAATTTTCTACTTTTATTTGAATTTACAATCAAATTCAATTTTAAATTAATTGATTTTTTTGTTTTATTTTATTAAAATTATATATTTATTCAATTATCAAAAGTAAGCATTAAAAGTATAATTATTTTAATATATTTAAATAAAAGTTAGCCTCATCTTAAATTCGAGAATACGAAGGCATAACAGGGAGGTACAAACTTCAAATCCACCTATCCTATTACTTTCTTTTTTCGAAAAAAAAAATTAATTTTGTAAGATAATATTGACTAACTTTAAGAATAGTGTATATATTGTGATCGTCAATACAACTTTGCTATTTTGAGAATTCTTAATACACTACACGGTATAAAGAATTTCATTGTACATAATTAAATAATAAAATAATATGCGGGTCATATTTATTTTCTCTCCCATAAGTAAAGAATATATATTTATGAAGATGCTTGTGAATACTATTGGCGAACATTACATGAATAATATTTTTTAATGATAAATAAAATTGATTAATAAAATATAAAAAATTAGTCAATGAAATAATAAAAATAGTTAATAATTGCTCGGATATTAAAAATACTTTGTAGTAAAACAAAATTGGTTAATAAAATATATAAAAAAATTGATTATAAAATTATGAAATTGGTTAATACATGTTCAGATATTAAAAATTATTTTTAGTAGTAAAATAAAATTGATTAATGAAATGTAAAAAAATAGTTAATAAAATTATAAAGTTGGTTAATTAACTATTCAGATTTTTAATAGTTATGAAGTTGATTAATCAAATATAAAATATTAGTTAATAAAGTTATGAAATTGGTTAATGACATAATTTTTTCTATGCTTTTTCAATCTAAAAATAAAATTAAAAATAAAAATAAATTAAAATTTTTCATGTAAAAAAATATTTTTATAATATTTCATTGTTCTGAACAATGAAATGCAGTATAAGTATAAGAACTTAACATAAGAATAGTATTTTTCTTGTCCATAATATGAGAAATAAAATTGATAAAAATAGCGAAAAAATACTTCTACAAAGATTAAAAGTAATTTCTTTTATAATTAATTATTAATGATATTTTTGTAAATAAAATTACTGCTTGTAATTTCTCACGGTAGACGCCTTGTCTCCATATAGTGTCATTCTAGGGAGGTCTGACCTCAACTTGCTAGGAGCGATATTATCTATCCTTTATTTTAGCCAAAAGTATTTGTTATATGATGCGCGAGTTAGATTAGTTCGAAGGAACAAAAGATCATCCATGAATGCTATCAAAACAACTTGGAAATGAGAAGGGAACACGTCGCCACAAACTTTCCCCTTAGCCAAAAGCACGAGAGGAAGATGTCACAAGTAGGGACCTTAGATTTGGGATCGAAAGTGAAAGGCTTACCCCCATAGAGAACCTGAAAGAAGACCATATTGGGCCCTTGGATAATCAAGTCAAAACTCTAGGCACCTCATTATCAGATTTTGAGGAGGAATGGTTGGTCGCCCTAGTAAGGAGGAATGTACATTTGTTTGCCTAGGTGCCCTCTGATATACCGAGAATAGATACAAGAGTGGTCTGACACTTTTTCTCTCTATTGACATTGCAGTAAAGCAATTGTCTCAAAGGAAACACAAGGTGAGCGGGGAGAAGACAATGACCATTGATGAAGAAGTTCTAAATCTGAAGAGAATTAACTCCATGAATGAGGTTAAATATCCATCTTGGCTGGCTAACAATGTTGGTGAGGAAGTCATCAAACAAATGGCACATGTGCATCCACTTCACCGATCTTAACACCGTGTACCCCAAAGATCCATATCCCTTAACCAAGATAGATTTTTTATTGGCATGTCCTCATGCTACAAAATGTTGAGTTTCATGGACGTCTATTCTGGCTACAATCAGATCAAGAAGGATCTTGTAGACGCGTCCAATACAACATCCATGTCCAAAACCTTTGGGCTAAAGAACGCATGCTCCACTTATCAAAGACTCATGGATTTAGTATTCTCAAAATTGATAAGGCTAAACTCTGAGATATACATCGATAACACGATAGTAAAGACTTCAAAAGTAAAGAACCCCACAGTAAACCTGGAAGATATCTCGGAGTCCGTGAGAAACTACATCATTCTCCTAAATCCCACTAAGTGCTCCTTTGGTATACACGCATGAAAGTTTCTAGGTTTTTTGTTAACCAAGAAAAGTATAGAGGCAAACTCAAATAAGTTTTAGTTCATCATTGACACGAGGAGCCTTACCAACGTCAAAGAGGTTCAAAATTAACGGGGTGTTTAAATGACCTATTTCATTTCCTTTCTTGTTCAGGTGATAAGGCTTTTCATTTATTTTCAACTTTGAAGAAAAATGAGAAGTTTGAATAGACGAGTAAGTGCGAGGAGGCATTCTAAAACTTAAAGACCTTTCTGACGTCATTGCTAATCTTGACATGCCCAATAGCAGGTTCTCCCCTCAACCTCTATCTGTCAGCTACTAACTAGGCGATAAGTTCAATGCTCATCCAAGAGATATATAAAGATGAGTGAGTTGTCTATTTCGTAAGAAAAATGTTTAAGGGAGCTAAGGCCTGATATTAGAATATTGAAAGACTAGTTATGGCAGTCGTGATAACTACAAGAAAACCCATACCTTACTTTTAGGGGCATCAGGTGATAGTGAAATCCAACTACCTCATTCGACGTATATTGAAAAAGCTAGATCTAGAAAGAAGGATGGTATCTTGGGCGAGTGAACTATACGAGTACAAAATCTAATAGATATCTAAAGTAAGTATCAATTCACAAGTAGTGGTTGAGTTTCTTATATAACTTTGCTTGAAACTAGGAAAGGAGGCTCCCCACGTGGACCTTATGACTAGATGAAATCTCTAACTTAAATGGAAGTGGCCTCAGGATAGTATTGGAAGGACCAGAAAACATGTTAATCGAGGAGTAGTTGAAGTTTAAGTTCAAGGCTAATGATAATCAGACCAATTATGAATCCCTCATCGTTGGCAAAGTCCCCATCCTCAAGTTGGACGCTTCAAATCTAAAGGCCAAAAAACGACACCTAATTGATGGAAAATCAAGTCGATGGGGATTACCAGGCAAAGAAGCTCTAACTCGTTTACTCTTTCTCCATCTTTATTCTTTTTTAGTGAATAATCATTTACCTCTAATTTTTTAAATCTTATATCATTTTCAGATTTTCGAAGAGATTCTCAAATATTTACGGGTAATATATTTCTCTTTTTTTTTGTTGTAAATATTTCTTTTATTTTCTTCTAGTGAATATTAATTTTCTACTTTTATTTGAATTTACAATCAAATTCAATTTTAAATTAATTGATTTTTTTTTATTAAAAATATATATTTATTCAATTATCAAAAGTAAACATTAAAAGTATAATTATTTTAATATATTTAAATAAAAGTTAGCCTCATCTTAAATTTGAGAATATGAAGGCATAACAGGGAGGTACAAACTTCAAATCCACCCATCATATTACTTTCTTTTTTCGAAAAAAATATAATTAATTTTGTAAGATAATAGTGACTAACTTTAAGAATAGTGTATATTGTCATCGTCAATACAGCTTTTGCTATTTTGACAAATTCTTTTATACACTACACCGTATAAAGAATTTCATTGTATATAATTAAATAATAAAATAATATGCGGATCATATTTATTTTCTCTCTTATAATATATGTATATATATAGTATATGAATAGTAATATAAATAGTATATATGAATAGTATCGTGAATAGCGATATAAATAATATATGAACCGTGCTTGCGAATAATATTCGTGAATAGTACATGAATAATATTTTTAATGATAAATAAATTAGTTAATAAAATATTAAAAATTAGTTAATAAAGTGATAAAATTGATTAATAATTATTCAGATATTAATAATATTTTATAGTAAAATAAAGTTGGTTAATAAAATATAAAAAATTAGTTAATAAAATTATAAAATTGGTTAATACACACTTAGATATTAAAAATAATTTTTAATAATAAAATAAAATAAATTAATGAAATATAGAAAATTAGTTAATAAAATTATGAAATTGATTAATTAACTGTCTAAATTTTTAATAGTTATAAAGTTGATTAATCAAATATAAAATATTAATTAATAAAATTATAAAGTTGGTTAGTAACATAATTTTTTTATGTGTTTTCTCAATCTAAAAATTAAAAATAAAAATAAATTAATTTTTTTTATTTAAAAAAATATTTTTATAATATTTCAGTATTCACCGTATTACCATTTTAATAAACAATAAAATACAATTTATGCGTAAGAATTTAGTGTAAATATATTATTTTTTTATCAATAATATGAAAAATAAAACTGATAAAAATAGCGAAAAAATACTTCTACATATTAAAAGTAATTTCTTTTGTAACTAATTATTAATAATATTTTTGTAAATAAAATTGTTGCTTGTAATTTTTCGCACACTAAAAAGTTTATTTTATATCAAAAACAATATTTTACCATTTGTTTTTACTTTTCAAATGGTTTTAATTTGTTCTCAATTGTAATTGCGAAAGATTAAATTGTAATTTTTTATATTAAGTTCAGCGTTATTTACCACTAAAATAATTAATAATTAATAATCAGAATATCACTTTTAATCTATTTTTTTTTCTCAAAAAATATTAAACATTTGATTAGAAAAAAAGTTAATTCTAAATCGACGAGGTACAGCTGCCGCCATAACAAATACAGTAACAAATTTGTAAATAAAGAATTTTTATTTATTTAGTCCTTTTACCAATAATTTTAAAAGTATATAGTTAACTTTTTTCTTTTTCTATATTATTACTAACAACAAACTAAAAAAATAATTAAATGTTATTTGTTAATATTTTGGATAAATTAATAAATAGTGTTAAATGATTTTTATTAAATAATAATTTATTAATCAAACTTAAACACCTTGATTTTACTCATATTTTATAATTTTTTTTTTATAAAATAGATAGTAAGTTAGTATATTTGGATAAGTTTAAAGGCATCCCATAAGAGGACGCTGGAACTCTTAAGATAGACGAGGTGGATCACGCGACCGTCTATTTATTGGGTTGTGTGTCAATTTTTTGATTAGGTCGTCTATTTTTTTGGGTGATTGACTCATGGAAACATTAGGTGACATGTGTAGTTCTCAATGGTTAAAAGAGGGAGTAAAAAAAGAAAAGATCATGTTCTCCTTAATAATAGAAAATTGATTGTTCACTTCCCACATTCTTGGAAGTAGTTATTTATTATTCTCTTAGAGCTTGAGGCTAATAATTTCTTATCAATACCTTAACCTTGAGGTTGAAAGGAGATCCAATTCATTAAAGAAAATACCACATACAAAATTTCTCACCATCCATGTGCGGGCTTGCTTTAACACAGAACAACCCTAATCACCTTTAATAGTCCTACATATAAAGGGATTGTTATGTATTTGTTGTACCCCAAAATTTACCCTCTTGTTTTTAGAATTTTAATGCTTACGTTTCATTATACATATTTATGCATTTGAGATAGAATCAAGGTATTCTTACCTTCATGGTCTTCTTCAAGCTATAAAAGATGTTTATATTGTCAATCGGTGTGAGGAGGGTCTCATATCCTCTTTCATTTGCTCATTCAAGTTACAAAGGCTTTTCATGCCTCGAGGCACCTCTTCAGATTATTTGTTTCATCAGGGAATTCAGAGTTGCAAGGGTTTCAAAGTGAATCACATTTCTCCTATCCTTTGGCTTTTGCGCTAGGGTTTTGATTACTGAAGTGTGTGACGTCTTTCTTGACAAAATTCTTGAAGCAGTATCATCATGAGTATTATCTCAGTACATCTTCAATCATCAACTGAGGTTAATTAGAGATTTTCTTCTTTAATTCCATTCTTATTTTTTTCAAATATTCTTCAAAGGCAAGATATCATTCTTAAGCTCGGTGATTAAAGAGAGATTCTATGTGGATTTTCTTTAGAAAAGATTTTATCTGGTTTCCATGATCAAGTGAGTTTTGGATTACTTGTTGAGTCATCTTTTTGAGGATAAATTTTGAAGTCTATTATGCAAGAGTTATTGAAGATCTTTGGGCTTTTAGAGTGCATCATTTTTAGGCTTATTAGAGTACATTACTAAAGTGCATTCTCAAAAAGGCTATTGGAGGGAAGTTTGGGTTCTTTTGTTTTATTACTTAAAAGATGTTCATCTTGACAAGTTTGGAAATAAAGAAATTGAAGACCATTTTCTTTTCTTTCAACTCAAGGCCATTTACATTTACTACTTGGAATGATTTACATTTTTTGTCAAGTTTAGAAGTGGGGAATAATTTGAAGATTATTGTGTCCTAAGCTAAGGTCCATATCATCATCAATATCGCTTACAAAATTCTACAAGTTTCACAAAGTCTTCTACAAGACATTCAATTGCAACATTAATTCAATTCTACATGTTTTTACCAAGGTTTATAAGAAAAGTTACATTGTTTCTAAGTTTGTTTCATCACAAAACTTAAGACAAAAGAGTTTGCGAATTACAAATCCAAATGGTAAAAAGATGCTTTCATTAATCTTTCTTCAAGATTTAAACTTCTAAGTTCATAACAGTTACAAGCTTTTCTTACAAGAACCTAACCAAAGAGTTTCTAAACCTCTTCTAATCTACCCTATGAGATTCTAGGGCAAGACTTCAAAATCTTCACACTTCATGTTTTCCTCCAAACTCCTCCAAGTCACGCTCTTTTGTTTTTCTTCATCATTGCTTCATGGCCATTGAAGCTCGACATTCCTCCAAGCCTTGTGGATGGTTTCAGTTTCCCATTTCCTATCATCATTGTTCTCATACATGAAACAAGGAAAGGAGAATTGGTTAGTACAATCACCAATAACATTGAGTAAGAGAATTCAAGAGGATTCCAAGCAAGTATTTCTCAATTCATCATTAGAGTTTTTGTTCAAGGAATCAGAATTATGGATTAATTCAATCATGAATTCAACTCCCAACAACAACATAAGCCTCATTTTACTTCTATCTCACACAAAATCAGAAGTACATCTCATCATAGGTCCAATTCCGTTCACTGTAAATCACAAACAATTTGGTTCACAGTACAAAAAACAAGCATTTCATTTTCAAGCCTATGTTTGTTCATATTTTGATAGCAAGTACAAGCCCACAGTTTACATTCAATCAAGCAAGTCCAATAAACAAATTACTTAGCCTAGTTCAAAAACATGGACAAATATTGTCTCAGCCCGTTTTCAGTACAACAAAAAAAGCAGTGAAAAAAAAAAAACAAAGTACTAGACCAGAAAGACCTTCTCTATTAGGTATCATCATGCCTCTCTTTATTTCTCATCATTTTATTTTAATCTTGCCACGAGAAGTAGGATAGAGATGCATGACTAAAAGTATCACCTTTGTAGGCATGTTCGATTGTTCAATTGTTATCCCTTTTTCTACTTGACTACTTGCTTAGGTGTCTACCTATGTACACGCTCTTTCTTATTTACTTGCTTATCTAAGTATGTTTTCTTTAGGTATCTTATTTAAGTACCTTATATCTTGAGTAAGTCTCTACTTCTCATGTATGATAAGTAATTGTCTAATTTCCATCTTTTTCTTTTATCTCCTACCTTGATGATACGACACCATTGTAAGGAGCATATTACTTGATGTTTTGTCATCTCTTTCTCTTTTCCTACCTCGATGATACGACATCATGTTTATGAGTTTATTACCTGATGTTTTGTCCTCTATTATTTTGTGTTTTATCATATTCACATGGTGTTTTATCATTCCTTGCTTGATTTTTTTGTCATCCATGCCCGATGTTTTATCATCTTTTATCTTGATGTTTTATCATCTCTTTTTATCTCATTTCTCATGCTTCTTTGATCCTTGGTTAAACACTCACTTGCTAACTAACATGGAAATACATAAGAAGCTATACTCTCTTTTCTACTTGTGTGTTGAGCATCATTGTCTAACGATTTCCTCATGAGCTTTTGTGCCATGACCCATGAACGTATCTTGATGTTGGCTACTGACAATAACATCCAAAAAGATTGATTTTGATTTATTTAAATTAGATTGCTTGTATGCATCAAAGGGACCATATTTTGCCAAATATCATGACACTTAAGTATGTTATCTTGTTGACATTTCTTGAGCCTTTAAGTTCATGATTGATATCTTGTGAGGGTTTCATCATCACCCTATGATATATAAGACGTCATTATACTCTTACTTGAGCTTTATCAATTTCATTTGATTTAAGACAAGTATTATCCATCATTAGATGATTTTGTTCATCAACTAGGTGACTTTTATTGTGTAAGAAATTTCATATTCTTACTTGGTTACTCTTGAGTCTCATATTGAGTTAACTTACTATACAAGTCACACATTGCATAATTCTTCAATTATGCTATCTTCTTTTGATCTTTACTTATTGAATTGAACATTGCTTGCTTGTCTCCCCTCAACCTCTATCTGTCAGTTACTGACTAGGTGCTAAGTTCAATGCTCATCCAAGAGATAGATAAAGATGAGTGAGTTGTCTATTTCATAAGAAAAGTGTTTAATGGAGCTAAGGCCTGATATTAGAATATTTAAAGACTAGTTATGGCGGTCGTGATAACTACAAGGAAACACATACCCTACTTTTAGGGGCATCAGGTGATGGTGAAATTCAACTACCCCATTCGACGTATATTGAAAAAGCTATATCTAGAAATTAGGATGGTATCTTGGGTGATTGAACAATATGAGTATGAAATCTAATAGATATCTGTAGCAGTAGAAATGTTTAAGACTAAGCCATTAGATTGACTTGACTTATACAAATCAAAATAAAATCGCCACCGCGCTTTATTGTTTCCAAAGGAATGGGAAAAGAGAGAATAACCCAAAAGAGAGGGAAAGATTCAAGGTAAGGGGGTTGGTTATGCAAAGGAAATGTATTAGCACCCTAAACATCCACGGTACTCTGCAGGAACCTCTTTGTAAAATCTGTATATTTTGGCTATAAAAATATTGTATATAAAAAATGGATGGTGGAGGTGAGAAAAGAAAAATATATTTTTATAGTTTTTTTTTGCATCCTCCGCAGTTGCGAACCTTTAGTACCTACATACCACCTTTTCGTGCAATAGGGGATCAGGGTGCACGTAGTTCCTCTTTAAAAAATTTTAAAATGTAAGTGTGTTGGTTAATTTTTATGAGATAAAACGTCATCATCATTGTTCGTGTGGAAAACATACCTACTACCCACAATCATGAGAAAGGAGAATTTGCATCATCTCAAAGTGGAGGATATGGCTTGGATTTTAAAATCAACAACGCCTCACTCAACACCCAAGTGGAAAATATCTCCCTTCACTACATATTGTAGAAGTATAGTTGTTTGCATCACTACAAGGATTGACAAGAGTCTAATCTTTTGAGAAAGGGTTTTAAAATAAGAAAGCCAAAGTGGCAAAAATAATTTGAAATGAGATTGATTGACTTTTAGTCTTCTCACAAAAAAAATGATGTCAAAATATTATTAAGTTGATTGAAGTTTATTCCTGAAAATGTTTTTGAAAATTCATGGACCTAAGTCCAATTTTATTATGAAAGTTGTTCGAGTTTCAAAACAAGAGGAGTTTTCAAAAAGAGGAAGAAGATTTTTAAAATTAAAGATGGAAGGAGAAGACGAGACTATCATAAAGCATAATGTAAAAGCTAGGGATAGGAACCATCTCACCAACAAGAAGCCAATACTTGACATTATGAGCCAAGATAGAATTCCCATTATTTAGATTGAAACCAAGCAAGAAAAGATACTAGACCTCTTGAAATAAACCAACTTCAAGTGTATTAAGTCTTCAAAAAAATTGGACATAGTAACGGCTGTATACGGGTGAATTCCAAATTACAAACAAAGAGTGTAATCACAATAACCTGCACACAAAACAAACAAACAACCCAATGTCTTGAGGTAAACCTCAAGAGCTCCAGACAAAATAATCAGATAAGGTCACAAGGTCTCCATCATAGGCCAAGGTTTCTAATCCTAAGTCCAAGAAGTCCCATGCTCTATAATGCCAAGGATAGTAACCAAAAGTCTCATGCTCTATAATGCCAAAGATAGTAACCAAATAGTCCAAGTATCATTAAATAATTTTAGGGTTTATGTTGATTATTAGGTATCTAAAAAAAAGAAAAGAAAAGCTCAAGTGAGCAAAATAAAAATGACAAGAAAGTAAATGTTCAAATGAGCAAATATGAAGATGGCATGAAATATAAATGTTAAAAGTAAATAGTGCATAGGAATAAAAGGAGGCATATAATAAAAATAAAGGATAAAGTCAATTAATAGTGATTAGTAGTTAGTTGGATGATCATCTTGAAACTTGCATTTGGAACTCATTAGAGGATTGGTAGAACCAAAGCCTCCACACAACAAGTTGCATTTGCTTTTTGTCAAGTATATCATCCACTTGGAATCCTCATAAGTATCATTTAATGATCAACGATGTTTAAGTGATCCGCGTTGACCAAAAGTGTTGTAGATCCATTAGAGGATTGGTAGAACCAAAGCCTCCACACAATGAATCTCAAGGTTATTGGATCAAAGAGATCAAATTAACATGCTTGGGCTTGCAAACATAAGTTTGGGCCACGAATGATCATTTATTCGAATCGGGACAAAATTTAGCGCTATGTTAAGCAATCGTAAGTGGATTTATATAGAAGTCACACCTATTTTGAGGCCGTCAATAGCAATCTATGCACCATTTGTTTTGAGACATGATATAGAGATCATGCTCCAATAACACTTAGTGCAATAAGAAAGGGATGAGATGAAGAGGGGTAGGAGAGAATATACAAACCACTTTTGAATTAAATTTAATCAAACTATTATTAAAATCATTCATCCATTTTGGTGGAGTTAGACTCAACACCATGGATCCAATGATGTTAATAAAGTTCATGATAAAAAATTTAACCCAAGGCCAGAAAATAGTCACAAAATAATATCACATTTAATATATACAAAAAATGTTAAAAAATGTTATAAAATAGAAATGAAAGAGAAAAATATCAACTATGTTCAAATTAATAAAAAAAAATAAAAAGTAAGATCATAGAAAAATCAAAAAAGGACTCAAATGATTTTATAAATTTTTTGGTAATTTTTTAAAGTCAGAAACTATTTTTAAAAATTAAAAGAAATGAGTAAAATAAACCAAAAATGATAAAAAATACCAAAGTCAAAAATAAAAAATAAGTGAGGTCACTAATATTTGTCACAATATCATTGGATCATTCCATAATTTTTTCATAATTTAAAAATGCATAAAAGTATTTTTTAAACATTTAAAACAATTCAAATAAAGTGAAAATTTATAAAAAATACCAAAACAAAAAATTAAATTGTGAATAAATAAAAATCAGAAAGAGAATAATCAAAAATATTTTTTATAATTTTTTCAAAATTTCGGACTAAAAATGAATTTTCTATGATTTTTTTGAAGTTTAAAACAATTAAATATAAAAATCAGAAAAGAAAATAAAAGTAAAAAATATGTGGACCATTGGATGTGAGTCAAAACGTGTTAGTAATCAAATCCAAGGGATCTGGCATGCTGTGCATATCATGGTCATTAGTGAATAAAGCATTGAATCAAATGTAAATCAGAAATTCAAAAAATCCAAATGGTGATGTTTCATTGGTTGAAGGATGACACGTTGGTCATCTTCAACCTCCATCCAATCCCAAAACCAGGTTGCTCAATCTGTAAAATTAGAGCACGGGACCTATGCCATTCGTTTCGTCTCTTCAAGGCGAAGACAACCACACCCTCGCAACAAATTTATATAAGTTGTAGCTCAAGCAATTTGGAAGGAAAGTTTTGAAAAGGGATTTGAAATTTCATGGTCAAAACGTGTTTCCAGTAAAAAAACAAGTGTTGCGACTAGAACTAGGGCAATGAGAGCATCACAATGATATCAAAGTTTTGAAGAATTAATGAAGGAATCTATCTATTGAAGTTGAGTTGCACAACTCTGAAACTGGACTTCTATGGAGCAATATAGGGCACGATTCTTGAATGTAATTATATGGTTAGCTTCAGGGAAGATCAAGGAAGGTGAATTGATGGAAAAGTTGGATTGAAAAATGCTTGAGAATAGATTTCGAAGTTGCTGAATTTTGAGTTATGGAACAAGTTTGGCAGGGTGATTCTGGCTATCCAAGCTTGAAGAAATGAATGGGGAATGACCCTCTATTTATAGGGAATCAAATGGAATGTCCAAGCGTGTGAAATGATGAAGTTTGGAGAGAAATCGTGTGAAGTCGCAAACAAAAAAAGTGTGACTTCTAATTTGATCAAAACTCACCCAAAACGCGCGTTTTGCTATGCTAATCACTTCTGGAAGTTCACTAAACATGTTCAGAAGCAAAAACGCACAGAAACAAAGTGTTTAGAAGCCAAATCAAGGATTTCAAACTTCTGACTTGGTGAAAAATTCAGTTTCAAATTGCCAACTTCTGACCAATGGCATTCTCATCTCAAGGGGTCTTAGGGCATGATTCTTGATGCTTTAGAAAGATGAGGTTACAAGCTTTGCAATGGAAAAAGAATGTAATCAAATGGATGCTTGAGCTAAAAGTTGTATTGAGTCAAAGTTGGGAAAAAGAAGTTGACTTTCCATACTTAGAAATATTTCATCTTTTCCTTCAAAAGTGACCTATAATGTCTTGCATCCAAACATAGTTTTCCACTTGGAATTTGCTCTTGACCAAAAAAGATGGAATGAAGTAGATCTCTTGAATGACATTTTGAGACTTGAACCATTCAAAATATCCAAAAATTTAGAGAGTTATGACTTGTTGAATTTGGCAAAAAAATCATGAAATGACCTATAATCTTTTGTATCCTTAAGGAAACTTCCATCCATTTTCTCACTTTGTACATAAAAGAAGGCATAAAGTTCACATCCACAAGATCATTATGGAAAAATAATGGGCTCAAGGTGATAAAAATTGACCAAGTTATGATCATTTGAAGTCACACATGGAAAATTGGGGATTCATCTGGAGGACTTGTAATCTTTCTTCTTCATCAAGTTTCTTCCACATGAAAACTCCTTGGAACTTTTGAAGTTATTTTTTTATAACCCTTTGAAGAGAATGACGTCTTTGGAATCACTCAAAAATACCAAAATATGAGCAAGATATACTCCTTTGAAGTTCAAAACCCTAACTCCTAAATCAAGAAACATGCCTTGAGGAACTTTGACAATTTTGAACAAACTTCTTGTACCAACACAAATTCTTTGTAAATATAAGTTGTTGAGGATGATAATGAGAACTCATAGAAACCACAACCACTTAAATATCTTGAGAATTGATAGAAATATGCATTTGTGACCAATGGGAACAAAGCCTTGTCAAAGCATGACAACTTCTCCAATCAATCCCTTGTGCTTTTGAACCAAATTTGATAATCTTGCAATGTGGTGAACCAAACTAACCTTGCCATGCCATTTCCTCCAAAACAAATCCAATGGTGAGGTTTGAACTTCTCAAGCTTCATTGACTAAGGCATGGAAATAAACTCATGAACCCATGGAGCAACTTGCTGAATCTTATTGCCTTTACCTACATGAGTAACAAGCAAGACAAACCAACATTGCATTTTATTAATTAAAAGAAGAAATCAAGACAAAAATATTCATGATCACAAAAGAACACAAGTCAAGGTGCTTGGTGATTCCTCAAAGAGCAAAGCTAAATATAGGGAGGGGAACCAAGAATCCTAATGTGATCTTGTTGTGATGGAACCGACATGGTATGATGAAGGGATCTTAGGGGCAAAAATTGGGGTACAACAGCTGCCCTTATTTAAGTTTCATATATCCAGAGATACGAAGCTTAAAAATCTTCGTGTCGACACGATCGAAGATACTTAAATATAAAACAAACCCTATTTTTGGCCCTAAGATGCCATGCAATGCTTATAAGCATGAATGCATATGAACAAGACCAAAGAGATGCAAAACACCATTGGGGATGTAACAAAAAATAAAGAAACAAGAGAGTAACCCAACCAGGAAAATAAATCACTGGTGGATCAAAAAGATCTGAATCAGAGAGGATGGTAAAATGGTCAAAGGATACATCAACTTCCAGTGAAGGCGAAGCTACCAACATTTACTGAAGGCATGGAGAAAGAATCATCGACGTTCATTGTCGATGACCTACCAACTTGCATTGAAGGTAGGAAGAGAATATATCAGAGCATCGCCGTTCACTGATGATGAACTACCAATGTTCACTGAGGGTAGCAAAAAGATAACAAACACCAACTTTCACTGATGGTGATCTACCAACTTTCACTGAAGGTAGAGAGAAAATATATCATAGCACCGCCATTCACTGATGGTGAACTACCAACGTTCATTGAAGGTAGCAAAAAGATATCAATCATCAATGTTCACTGCTGATGACCTACCAACTTTCACTGAAGGTAGGAAGAGGATATATCATAGCATCGTCGTTCACTGACGATGAACTACCAACGTTCACTGAGGGTAGCAAAAAGATATCAATCATCGACGCTCACTGCCGATGATCTACCAACTTTCAATGAAGGTAGGAAGAGAATATATCATAGCATCACCGCTCACTGACGATGAACTACCAACGTTCGCTGATGGTAGCAAAAAGATATCAATCATCGGCGTTCACTGCTGATGACCTACCAACTTTCGCTGAAGGTAAGAAGAGGATATATCATAGCATCGTCGTTCACTGACGATGAACTATCAACGTTCACTGAGGGTAGCAAAAAGATATCAAACACCAACTTTCACTGATGGTGATCTACCTACTTTCACTGAAGGTAGAGAGAAAATATATCATAGCACTGCCGCTCACTGACGATGAACTACCAACATTCACTAAAGGTAGCAAAAAGATATCAATCATCGACATTGACTGCCGATGACCTACCAACTTTCACTGATGGTAGGAAGAGAATATATTATAGCATCGCCGTTCACTGATGATGAACTACCAACGTTCACTGAGGATAGCAAAAAGATATCAAACACCAACTTTCATTGATGGTGATCTACCAACTTTCACTGAAGGTAGAGAAAAAATATATCATACCACCGCTGTTCACTGACGATGAACTACCAACGTTCACTGAAGGTAGCAAAAAGATAACAAGTTTCCCTAAAATTCAGGAATTTTGCCTAGAAAGGGTCTCAACTTCTTCTTTAACCAAGGCACTATGCCTGTAAAGGATAATATATAAACTGTCTCAAATAAAGAGACCATCACTTGTAAAGATTTCACAACAAACTGTTTCTGCGAATTTGAAAGTCTTGTCATCCACTGGCATAAACTGACGACGGACTGAAAACTATCCACTCATAGAGGAGATAACAAAAAAAAATTTACGTCGACTTTTACAGGGAAGCACAAGTTGCTCAAATAAAGAGACCTGCTGCTTGTTGTCATGGAGGATTATAAAAGAAACAACTTTATAGGGAGAACAATATGGCTTCCTGGGGAATGAAATATGACTTCCTGGGGAAATACCACGATATTCCTGCTAAGGAGATAAAGTCTTCTTGTGCAAAATAAATGCACAAACCAAAACTCGAAGCTTTCGGGAATCCAGAGTAAATAATATTGTTGTGGAACCAAAGATTCAAACCAAAAATAAACTGGAATGAAACAGTCAACCAAAATACATCCTTTGAGAAACAAACTCAAGAGGGAAAACCAAATCCATCCAAACAAGAAGTTGTACAGGAAGGCTAAAGCAAAAATCTTCCACAAGGGATAACTCAGTGGAGAAATTGAAAGAATACACGCTTTCTGCTTAAGTTCAACACTCTATTGAAGAGAGGACAACATAACTCTGTAAAACAGGGTGATATGTCAACAAAAATATTAACAAATGTTAATGAATAATGATTTGCCAATTTTAGCTATGCATGATGTATGTATGAACGTATGAGTATTATCGTGCGTATGCTGACAAAACAGATATATAACACTGGGAGTAACCAGACAAAACCACCTTGGGCACAAACAACACTCGGCTAAATCACATTCAAGATGATCATTCCATAAGAAAAATAAGCACCAACTGAGGAAGAAAAATCCTATTTCGTGGCTTAACTTCACTGGGGAGGAACATAATCCGGAAGTAAACAAAACAAAGTGACAGAAAAGTACAGATACAGGGATATAACATCCTTATCCAGGATTCACCAGGGAAACTAATGTTTTCAAAAGTAACACTTCTACCGGGGATTGCAAAACCAATCTCAAGTAAAGCAAGTGGACACCAAATCATCAAAACATTCACTGGGGAATTCAGACCCACTTCATTGGAGAGGTTAATCACCACATCCTTAAAGGGAAAACCACAATACGTTCTTCACTAGAGAAACCGGGGACCTGCGTTCTTCAAGAGTGATTATGGTACCGACTTCTCTGGAAAAAGAACTTCCATTAGACCGAATGAAAACTTCACTGGAGAAATCTCGGATTAAGACCTTACATCATGAAAACTCGGACAAGGAGGAGAAATTAATCCACACTTGACCGAGGATACCAGAGTCACAAACCCAATACGGCGAATCATACTGATTAAACCTTCCCGAGGGGAACAAAAACTTCTTAAAACAACTGGAGTTTGTCCATTCCTGGGATCACCATTTTTGTTGTTGTTGTTTTTTTCATCACAAATTCTAAAGTAAAAGCAAATTGTAAATTCTTTTTGAAAAATCGATTTTGTTATTTAATCTTTTTGCTTTGAAAGTTATTATCAATAATAAATGGAGTCTTTGCAAGCTAAATAAAATAAGAAACACAAAGAGTTGGGTAACAACTCAAACTTTATTAATAGAATGGTAGTCTGCGAATGACGAGACTCCATAGATGATTACAAAGTTTGGAAAATGGTAATATATAATGGAAAAGATACATTGAGATACAATGACCATTATCTCCTCTAACAATTTTTGAAATCCTAAGCAGCAGCCTCCGTTGAAGTATGATGAGGATTCGAGAAGATTGTTGCTTCAATGACCAGATCTTGCATGATGCAGTTACTTTCCAAGAAAGTCCCTAACTTTTGCCTAAGTTGCCCTTGTGAGTTTTCAACTTAGCGGGAAATTTATTTTGTTTATGTCTCTAATTTTTGCCTAGATCGCCCTTTCGGGTTTTTGGCCTACTGAGACGCTCTTTTTTTGCCTAAGCCGCCCTTTCGGGTTTTCAACTTAGCGAGTTGTTCTTTTATTTCTTTAGGAGAATTATTTCTTGACTGCATCAGCATTCATGAGACGTGGGAACTCCTCATCATCCATAGTTTCAAGAATTAATGCACCACCAGAGAAGGCTTTCTTGACAACACATGGGCCTTCAAAATTGGGAGTCCACTTGCCCCTAGAATCAGTGTTGAAAGACATGATCTTCCTGAGCACGAGGTCTCCTTCTTTGAATTCATGAGGTTTGACCTTTTTATCGAAAGCTTTCTTTATTCTTTGCTGATATAACTGTCCATGACACAAAGCTGTCATCCTCTTCTCTTCGATCATATTCAATTGGTCAAACCGGTTTGGGACCCATTCAGCTTCAGTCAACTTGGTTTCCATTATCACACGTAAAGAGGGAATCTCAACCTCGACTGGGAGTACAACTTCCATTCCATACACTAGGGAGAACGGGGTTGCTCCTGTTGAAGTGCGGACAGATGTTCGATATCCATGCAAATCAAAAGGGAGCATTTCATGCCAATCCTTATAAGTAACAACCATTTTCTGGATGATTTTCTTGATATTCTTATTAGTAGCTTCAACAGCCCCATTCATCTTTGGCCTGTACATAGAGGAATTATGATGGACAATCTTGAATTATTTGCACAGTTCTGTCATCATTTTATTGTTCAGATTTGAGCCATTGTCAGTGATAATTCTGCTCGGTACACCATACCGACATATAAGGTTATTCTTGATGAAGCTCACAACCACCTGCTTAGTAACATTGGCATATGAAGAAGCCTCCACCCACTTGGTGAAGTAATCAATTGCTACGAAGATAAAACGGTGTCCATTCGAAGCTTTGGGTTCTATCATCCCAATCATGTCAATACCCCACATAGAGAAAGGCCACGGGGAGGAAATCACATTGAGAAGTGTCAGAGGCACATGGACCTTGTCTGCATAAATCTGACATTTATGACACTTCTTTGCAAATTTATAACAATCAGATTCCATTGTCAGCCAATAGTAACCTGCCCTTAGCATCCTTTTAGCCATCGAATGTCCATTGGCATAAGTGCCAAATGAACCTTCATGAACCTCATGCATCAACATGCCTGCTTCATGTCTATCCACGCATCTGAGCAAGACCATGTCATAATTTCTTTTATACAACACATTTTCACTGAGGAAGAAACTGCCTGCCAATCTTCTCAATGTCTTTCTATATTTATTCGACGCACCAATCGGGTATTCCTGAGTCTGGAGAAAATACTTGATATCATAATACCAAGGCTTCTCATCTTCTACCTCCTCTGTTGTAAACATATGAGCGGGTCTATCCAGTTGCCGAACCATAATTCGAGGTATATCATTCCAAGTATTTACTTGATACATAGAAGCCAGAGTTGACAGAGCATCTGCTATTTGATTTTCATCTCTTGAAATATGATGGAATTCAACTTTATTAAAGAAAGGTAATAACCTTATAGCATAGTCTTTGTAAGGGATCAAGCCGGGGTGAAGAGTATCCCATTATCCTTTAATCTGGTTTATTACCAAAGCTGAATCACCATACACATCTAAAATTTTAATTCTGAGATCAATAGCTTCTTCGAGACCCATGATGCAAGCCTCATATTTTGCCATATTATTAGTACAATCAAATATCAACCTTGTGGTAAAAGGAATGTGTGATCCATGTGGAGTGACAATCACAACACCAATTCCTTTACCATAAGCAAAGAAGCCCTAACTCATCAAATATTTGAAAAAAGTATGTGACTTATCTGAATGTTTCTAAGCTTTCGAGATAATGTATGCGTCTTGAGAGCGGAATTTCAGGGCATACCTTCTTGCCAAACTCGTCGGCAAAAAAAGAGCAGGATATAACCGCATTGTGATTAAAGAGACTCTCGCCGCCTCCAGTATCTAGGTGGATGAAACCTATACTCTTGAAATCTTTTAGACCATGAATTGGATGACATCTATAATACACTATCTACCATTAGACAAACTCCCAAGCATGCATCAAAGTACATCATGATGTCATGGAAGCTCTACAAAATAGGAAGGACTTCTCCCATGCTAAGATGCATAGGGGAACATGAAGTCTCCCTAGTCCTTGCATATGTACATTATGGGCTTGCATCACTCACATTGGTGGATGAGCCCAGGTCTATATACTGCTAAAGGGGGGCTATTATTGGCCCACCCTGATGAAGGACAATGTATATTTCACAAGGAAATGAAACAAATTCCAAAAGCATGCCAATATGCATCATGTGCCAGCCTATGAAGCTCGGAGTTGGACACAGACATGACACACATCATAAACACGGACACGAGGACACCGCTAGTGTAAAAAATATAGGACATAGACACAGTTATATATATTATATTATATTTTAATAAAATAATTCAATTTATGAGCATAATTTATAAAGAGTCTAAAATGAGAACTAAAGTTTATACTTATTTAAACTTAGTACTTTCAATCAACCAAAAAAAGATTTAAATTGAGTACTTTCAATTAAGAAAAATTATCTAAAACAAAATTATACAAATCATATCATAGTCAATTTACATTCAAAAAACAGGTCTCTAAGTCTGACTCATCCAAAGACAAGTTATACGTTATATGTAATTAATATATAAAATGAGTGAAACAAAGACAAATAACATATAACATAACGTATAACATTTATGTAATTAATATGAAACACAAACATAAAATAGAGACAATTTACAAATAATAACACGAGTGAAGCACCGTCGTCGATGTATGTAATTAACAACAAGAAACAAAAATAGAGACAAATAATAAAGAAAGAAAAGGAATGAGTATCGGAAGAGAAAGAGTGAAATACGGCCGGTGGCAACAATGGAATATCAGCGTGCGACGAAGATGAAAACAAACAAAGAAGATTAAAACAAAAGAGAAGATGAAAAAACAAGGAATATGAGTTATTTTTATAGTGGAAAAGTGGAATATGAAATGTATTTTTTTATTTTGAGAATTTAAGAGTTTGGCGTGTCCATTATTTGAAATAGTGTGTCGTATATGTGTCTGCTGCGTTTCAATTTATTTTTTTGTTGGGCTCTTCAAAAACGTGTCTGATATGTGTCGTAAGCATGTCGGCGTATGATACGTGTCTGCGCAGGGACACACCTTCTAATTGACGTGTTAGAACTTTATAGGTTCCACCTGAACTCATTCATTCTCCCATGATGCCTTTTCCATTCTACGATTAAGGCATGGATATTTTAGGCCCTTCTCCATTGGCGCTTGGTCAGCTAAAGTTTTCAATCGTTGAAGTATATTATTTTGCAAAAATGTATTAAAGTTGAAGCCATATTCAAGATCACAATAGAAAGAGTCCGCCGTTTTTATCAGCAGTGACTCATGTGTTGGTTTGTTTTCACACTTTCAGACAATGATACTCAGTTCTCCAACTCTGTTGTGGTCAATTTTTTTCACGACCTAGGAATGCAAATGAAGTTTATATATGTTGTACATCCTCTAGAAAAACAAGCAGACTGAATTAGAAAATAAGATGATATTAAAAGGGAAAAAGAAGAAGTTAGATGACGCACTATGGGTTGAACAGTTTCACGAAGTGTTACGCTCACACCATATCACCCTCATTTAATCACCTAAGAGACTCCCTTCACAATGGTATACAGAGTGAACATTATGCTACCTGTTTAAATTGACACACCCTCTTGGCTGCACTCTCAGTTTAATGCAGAAGAGAACGAGGCAGTGGTATGATGCGCAACCAACCTAATTGACTATACAAGGGATATCCCCCACATTATTGAATTTTGTGCTGAGCAATTGTATCCATAAGGTACAATTCGAAGGCGGTTCTGAGGAAAATGCAGGAGGTTGACCTAGAACTTAAAGAGTTTATCGTGCCCACCCAGCAGGGGAAACTTCAATTTAATTGGGAAAGACCACACAAAATATGTCAGAAACTACATCACGAAGCCTACAAACTTGAACAAATGGATGGACGACTCATCCCTAGAACGTGGAACTCAATTAATGCGAAATATTACTATAGTGAATTGTTTTTCAGTTATGAGTTTAAAGAAGAAAGATTGTTCACCTGCTAATATATGAATCTCTTTGAAAACCTTATTGACTAAAAAAAGAGTATTTCCTAAGGGACTTAACTTAAAGTCTCTCCTAAGGGACATAACTTAAATTCTCGTCAGAGGAACTCAACTGAGAACCTCTTCTAAACAACTCCCAATAAAAAAACTAAATCACACCGCTCTTTTTAAAGACCTCGTGCTTGACGGACTGTGTGTATTGAAATAAGTGTAAAGGTCCCCATAGAGGACGCCAGAACTCCCAGGTGAGATAGAAAGTCATCCACGTGAAAGTCTTCTTATCGGCCTATTTATCAGGATGTGCATCCATTTCTTGATTAGGTATCCCATTCTCTGGGCGACTTACCTGATATGTGAGAACGTGGTGGTGAAATGTCCCACATTACAACGATTATAAGAGGGAGTCAAAAAAGGAAAGATCATGTTCTCCTGAGCAATAAATAATTGATTGTCCACTCCCCCACATTCTTAGGAGTGATTATTATTCTTTCATAGCTTGGAATCCAGAACCATGGATTTCTTAAAAGTGTAAGATTTTCAATTTGACTTGGCATAATACATGATCTTAATTGACTAACAGTGTAAAAAAATTTTATACTGGCAGTTTTACATTGTCGTCCAATAGAAATATTATTTTGAATATATAACTTGTACAATTTCAAATTCAAATCATAACACACAAATATATATATATATATATATATATATATATATATATATATATATATATATATATATATATATATATATATATATATATATATATATATATATATATATATATATATATATATATATATATATATATATATATATATATATATATATATATATATATATATATATATATATATATATATATATATATATATATATATATGTTCATGTTTAAGTGAATTGCTCAATGGCATTTTTATTATTATTGGATGAACCAATGGCAGTGTTGCTAAAACTTGAGAAAATTAGTAAAGTGCTATAATAGTTTATTTTTGTGGAGAGAACATTAGCAACATCTATGTTTATATTAGAATTAAGAGAATACTATAATATTGCCAACACTATGTTATTGTTTCTATCGTACTCTACATAACTAGTACAACATAAAACCTCTTATCATTGTGCATCACACTCATGCAAATTCTTTATTTTGTGTTACAGAAAATCATGACAGGAGGTTTTGCTGAAGCATTTCTTTCGTCTTTCTTGCAAGTGTTTTTTGATAGGTTGGCTTCAAGGAATTTCATTGACTATATCCGTAGAGACAAACTTGACAAATTGGTGGAGGAACTTGAGTCTACACTCAAGTCTATCGACCAAGTGTTGGATGATGCAGAGATAAAACAATACCGAATCCCAAACGTCAAGAAGTGGCTTGGCGATGTTAAACATGCTATGTATGAGGCTGATCAACTCTTGGATGAGATTGCCACTGGTGCACCACTGAAAAAGATGAGAGTTGAATCTCAACCTACTACTAGTAGCAACAACTATTTAGGCTATGTTTCAGCATTTATTAATCCATTTGAATCTCGAGTCCGAGAATTGCTAAAGAATCTAAAACATCTTGCTGAGCAAAAAGATGTGCTGGAATTGAGAAATGGGCGTTTGGCTCGTAATGAAGTTGGAGTCAGTTCAAAACCTTTAGAAAGACAGCAAACTTCATATTTGGTGGATGATTCCCCAATATATGGTAGAGACGATGGGAAAGATGAAATGGTCAAATTTTTACTTTCAAACAATGACAGTGGCAACCTGACATCGACACCTGTATCTAGCATAGTGGGTCTGGGTGGGATGGGCAAGACCACCTTTGCTAAGCTTATGTACAATGACCGTAGGATTGAGGATCATTTTAAACTCAAAGCATGGGTTTATGTTTGCAAACACTCTTGTTGCATGGCTGTGATCAATTGACTGAGCTCCCTTCAAATTTTTTCAAACTCATCAATTTACGTCACCTTGAACTTCCTTATTCTATAAAGAAGATGCCAAAGAATATAGGAAGTCTAAGCAATCTCAAGAGCCTGAATTTTTTTATAGTGAAAGAGCAAAACATATCTGATCTTAAGGAGTTGGAAAAACTAAACCATCTTCATGGAAGAATTCATATTAAAGGACTGGGTAATGTGATTGATCCTCTAGATGTTGCGACAAGAATTTGGAAAGATAAGAAGTATTTAGAAGAAATACATATGACATTTGATGGTAGAAGAGAAAATGTGTCTATCTTGGAAGCTCTTCAACCAAATAGAAACTTGAACAGACTCATCATTAGAGAATACAAAGGTAATAGCTTTCCCAATTGGTTAAGGAGGTGTCATTTACCCAACTTAGTATATCTTAAACTGGATTCTTGCCCTAGTCTTGAGCGCTTTCCGGAGGAGAGTCTACCCCTCTCCCTTAATACTTTGATCATTCACAATTGTCCGTTACTTAAGGAGAATTACCAAAAGGAGGGAGGAGAACATTGGCATACAATTAGTCGCATCCGTCAAGTGTTGATTGACTTGATTGACCAGCATTTGATACCTAGCCCATAGAAATGACATGTTTGTCGGAGGCAAGTACAACTCATGTGTTCATTTTTTCTTTGCTAGTAATTGTGATGTTTTCCATAGTAATATAACACTCCATATGTATTTGATGTTGAACAGTGGCAACTCTATGTGAGCTCTTTCTTGCACGTCAGCCTCAAAGATGTTGTCTTTCCTGCTACCAAGACATATTCACTGCCACCGACACTTTCTTGAGGAATATGCTAACCGGTGATCCAACATTTTCAATTTATGTGCTTTCATTCTTTTGTACTTTGAGTTAAGCCATCTCATGGTTTATGTATGAAGCAGGTTCTAATGTAGATTTGTTTCCTGTCTTGTGGGGTTCTAAGTACTTTGTAGATTGTGTTAATCCATCTTACAATTGAGTCTATAAATAGGGTTACAATATATACATTTCATTGTTCTATTCAATACACTTTTCATTATAAATAGTTTCATAATGCATACATTTCATCATTCTATTCAATACACTTTTCACTATGTACCAATTTGAGTATTCATATGCTCATTATCTCTCACTTGAACATGACCTTTATCCTCTTATCCATGAATTCTCAACATAGTATCAAAGCGATATCACATGAATAATGAGGATAAAGATTCCGCTATCAATTCAGATCTTGATATCAACGAAGATGAAGATTCTTTTCATGATAAAGAAAATAATTTTTTTGCAGCTATGGATTATGTTAAATTGTAATTCATAGTGTCGAATAATGTGTGTGTCTAATAAGATTTAATTTAAATCTAAAATAGAATAAATTTGATTTAGGTATAAATTAGAGAGATTTGATTTAGTTCCAAAATATGTATTTTGGATTTTTATAGTTTTGGGTTTTGACTTAGAGAGCAAGCTAACCTAAATCTATAAATAGAGGAAGAACCCCTTATTTTTGTAATCAAGTAAACAATAAAGTTGTATTCACAAAATTTGCAGTTGCAAGTGAATAAGAAGTTTTCTATAATTTGTAGACAGAGAGAAACTATGTAGAAAATCATTGTCTTTCTTTCTTTCATATTTTTCATCGTTAATGTGTGGTGATAACAATCTTGTTCATCAAGATTGATAGAAATTCATCATAGAATTTGGTGGATTTCCAACATTTGGTATCAAGAGTTCCGATTGAGTGATTCAAGGGAAGAATGATCGAAGAAGAAGATCACGATGGTGATGAATTACGCTAACGGAAATTTTCCAGCAAGTCACTCGATTCTTAAAGGTGATAACTATGAGAATCGGTGCAAACAGATGAAGGTTATATTCTGTTTTCAAGGTCTTTGAGAACTTCTAAAATATGGATTAGAACCACTTGATGAAGACAATTCAGAAAAAGAAGAGGCGGAATACAAATAATAATAGAAGAAGAATTATAAAGCTCTCCTTATAATTCACCAATGTGTTAGTCCATAAAATTTCAAAAAGGTTAGTGATGTAGAATCTGCAAAAGAAGCTTGGGAAATCCTAAAGAAATCGTTTGGAGGCGTTGAGAAGGTGAAAGAGGTGAGGTTACAAACTCACAAAAGAACGTATGAATTGCTTCAGATGGAAGATAGCGAAAGCATATCAGATTTCTTCACTAGGATTACGAAACTAGTGAATCAAATTAAGACTTGTGGAGAGACGTTAACAACAAGAGCAGTTGTTTCAAATATCTTGAGATCTTTGACTCTAAAATTCGATCATATGGTAGCTGCCATGGAAGAATCGAAGCACATGTCATCTTTTTCAAGGAAGAGCTTCAAGGGACACTTGAATCTCATGAAAAAAGAATGGCTGAAAGAGTGGCAGGCAAATTAAAGAATGGTGTGGCTCTGTAGGCTCAATCAACAAAAGACAAAAAATACAAAGGAAAGTGGTTCGATAACAAAGGTAGAGATGTATAAAAAAATTCGATTGGTAGAGGAAACCAGCATGAAGAAAATGTGTCGAATCAAAGAAGACCATACCAAGACAACTAAAGAGGTGGTGTTGCAAATAGAGGAAGAGGTGGTGGTCGAAAACTTGACAAGAGTCACATTTAGTGTTACAACTGTCAAAAGTATGGTCATTATTCTAGTGATTGTCTAGAAAAATAAAAGAATAAAGAAAGTGATGCAAAGTTTGAAGAAGAAGAAATGTTACTGATGGTCACAGCAAGAGATAAATAAAAATTCAAGGATCAATGGTGTAATACGGTGGGAGAACTGACTTTTGGTTTTGCGTTTTATCACAAATGTTGCGGATAGCAAGAGTCACCACCAACTTTTTCTTTTATCCAATAAGGAAAGGGTGAAAAGAACATGAAAGACCTTTGAGATTTATTGAGTTTGGGGGTAGCTTATGAAAAGGGAAGGTGTTAGCACCCTTTTCATCTGTAGTTATATATGAGATCTTAATCACTAACTCACTTTGAAAATGCTTTGTTAATGTGTGTTTGAAAAGTATTTTGAAATGCCAATAGTAAGGCAAGAGTTTGTAATGATTCCCGTATCTGTCCCCGAGAATACGTACAAAGTATTTGTTTGAAAATATTTTTAAGAAAGTGTTTGTGAAAAGATATCTTGTTTTGAAATGTTTCTGAGCAAGCGATGAAAAGTATTCTACCCTTACTCAAAGTCTTTCATATTATTTTCCTCCTCGTTTAGATAGTGCTATCCTACCATTAGTTAGTAGGAAGCCCTATCATTGGATGTGAAGGGACATGCGCGGGTCATCATACAGTCATAGAAGGAAACTTGTAGGGGCGCTTTAGCAATTTCGTAAGGGACTAGATCGTTTACCGAAGGCAACATTCAAAAGGGTCATCGAGGGACTGCGATCTTTTTAATCGGGGGTCTTTTCTAAAGCGTCCCCATATTCGAGGGACATGACTATTTTTTATCGAAAGCAACAAGGAAGGTTATCCTAGAGGTGCGGGTGTGCAAAGTGATTTGTGTTTCAGTTATTTATCTTGCATTAGGTTAACTACCATTTGCTTTTAATCTTGCCATACAATCTTATTAGCTAAACAACAACATATAAGGAAAGTGATAAACTCAGAAAGTAAGGATTCCTACGCTAATACAAAGCTTCGGGAACTGGGGTACAGGTAATAAATATGCGGGAGAAAAGTAAAACCCCAATTATCTATTACAAACTGTAAGCAATTACAATAATAATAAAAAGCGAAAATAATCAAATACGCGAAAAGGTAAAAAAAAGGAAAAGGGAAAGGAAATGTTTTTTTGTTGTTGTTGTTTTTATGAAGAAAAAAAAGATTTGTGATTAATCTAGAAAAACACTTAATATTGATTAAGAAAAGAATTGATTAATTATCATAAAACCTAAAAAACCTAATTAATTTTGATTAATAAAAAAATAAAGTTGATTAATTAAGATCTAAAGAAATTAATTAGGGTTAATTAAAAAACCTAAAATACTAATTTGATTTTAATTTTAAAAAAGGGTTAGTAAAAAAAACCAAAAACCTAAATTAGGGTTTATAATAAAAATGAGTTTTTTTTTGTGAAAATAAGGGAAAATGAGAGGAAAAGAGTAAGAAGAATGGAGAATTATAGAAAAACTCAAAATTGGTAGGGGTAGGTGTTGAACCCACACCCTCAGAACTTGCTTTCAATATGTTCACCACCAAGCCAAGCGCGCCTTGGTGTCAAGGAAGAGATCCAACGTCATTTGTAATCTGCAAGACAAATAAATCACAAAAATGTCAAAATGCCAAAAGGCTGGGATCGAACCCACGCCTTGGCATAATAAGGTCTTTAACGCGCGATTCAACCTCTGGGGAGGTAATACATCCGTTTATTATAATGAAACGATACATATATAATATAGAAACCATTCATGAACCAGAGAGACGTCGGAGCCCTAACTTCGGTCGTATTCTCCGGTAGCTCTTTTTATCAACCTGTAAAAAATCAAAGATGTTAGCAAGCCAAAAGCACCCTACCCTCCTAAATCGAGGGCTGCAATTTTAATAGGACGGTTGTTTTGGACTGAAACTCAATGATTTGAGAGGTATAATGAAAACAAATCTGATCGGTACAAAGATGGTGGTTCACGATTTGGCCAGCACGGGACCTCCGCGATGGGTTTTTTCTTCCTTTTGGAACCTCAGAAACACATAAAAGATATTAGTTACAAACAAAACAACAAGGAAATAAAAATATGAATTTATTTAATGAAAAGAGAACGATGATGAATGCAGGGGCGTTTCTGGCCGTTTGAGTCGTTGCAACCAGTCCAACCTTACCCTGTGGTGTTCTTAGAAGTGAATGAGCTGGTTAGTTTATAGTGATAGGGACTATGAATAGTGTTTTAAGTTGTTTTAGGGTTCTTTGAAAATTTGATATTTTGGACAAGTTTTTGACATAAGGGTTCGTGGCTTGCTTGTATGAAGAATGTAGATTAAAAAGCATGAATTAGGTCAAAGATAGGATGGGCTTGGACTTTGTATAAGAAGCCTTGTATCTTATCTTATTTATTTTTGAATTATTAATGAATAAATCAAAATAATAAAAATAAAATAGATCAAGGGGTGCATGAACAAGATCTGAGGTGTATAAGGAGTGTAATTCATTTTGGACTTTAAAACAATGGCTCAATAGTCTAAAATATTAAGTTTGCTCAATTTGAACTTCATGTATTTGCTCAAAATTTCACAATTTGCACTGGTCATAACTCTCTCAATTTTTATCTTTTGAAGGTGATCTATGAATTTTTGGAAAGATCAAGATATCCACTACAATCTCTCTTTTTTATCATTTTTGAATTTGGAGATATTATCTTGATGTAAGTTGCCTTGACAAAAAGTGTCTTTTTGTTGATTTCTGAAATGACCTGTAATGTATTGTCTCACATCTCTCAAATGAAGCATTTTTTGGACTTGAGCTTAGAGAAACAAAGTTGTAGAAAATTGAATTTCCTTCAAAATGAGCTTTGGTTGGGGAAGATCTGATGAAGCATGTGAAAGTTATGCTTGGTCAAAGTTCAGTTGACTTCTCCTTAAGAAAACCCTAATTTGGCAACTTTTGACTTTTGATGATTTGAGAGTTTTCTTGATGAATCATGATCAACCATTGATAAAATGATGAATATGACTTCAAAATATTTAAGTTTGACTGTATGTTGACCATAATTGACTTTTTTTACCCAATATAGTTGATTTTCAATCATCTGAGCCATTTGACTGAGCAAACTTGTGATGTAAGGCATGAAACTTGGTATGAGTATTCTTGAAGACATATAAGAGATAATGAATTCAATTTGAGACCTTTGAAACCC